AAAGAAATAGATGAAAATAAAAATTCTGTACCTTTGAAATTGGAAAGAAGGTTATAATATCATATCTTATAAGAGATATCTGATTCCAATTACAATATAGCATAAGTGCTTTACCTAGATAAATTGATTCTATTAATGCACCGGATGTATGAGAATAAATATTCAATATTTTTTATACATAAAGGAATTAATTACCAACATCAATATCTTATGAGATAATTTTTTTATGAAGGTTCATTGGCCTTTAAAGTAATTACTACATGAAGTGCTTCACGCTTTATTAACGTTTTAGCTCCAAATTTTTATCTGCTTTACACATGAAATATTTATGCAAACACCAGTGGTTGGCCGTGGCTCAGATATCATTCGAAAACCCAATTTATTCAAAGATTTAGTTAACTGATTTTGCATTGTTGTAAACCTGTTGCTGGGATACCTCCAAGTGTTTGCAAATGTCCTAGTTTGAAGATCATTCTAGTATTACAAATCCGCGAGATTCAGTAAACATTGTTATATGTATAAAGTCAAGGTCAATTTAGCATCCAAAAAATTGGGAGTCTTCAACAAAGCATGGAAGTTCCCTTCTTTTATTGGATGATAATGGAATAGTAACCTTGGTCGTACTATTAGTATACGAATGTAGTGGCGGTGAATAAGTAAAAGATAAAAAGTGAAAATGAAAGTCGATCAGTTGGCTGATTGTGAGAGGTTCATCAAGAATTATTTAAGTTTCTAGGATAGCCTCCGTGCATCTAAAAAGTAGTGTATTATATGTTTTAAAAGCGTTTCTTTCAGCGAAAATAAGTTGCCTTCCTAAAGGCTGCAGTGTATTGTTCTTCATAGTTGGGTATATTAAGGATTTTTTCAGAGCCAGCGACGTCCTGGCGTGTTTTTTTTTATACAACTTAGAATGGCAAACAAGCTGACGGCCCACCTGATGGAAAGTGGTAACCGTCGCCTATAGACATGAGCAGTACCATTGACATAACAGAGTATACTGTATTGCCCATGATACCTCCCCCCCCCATGCGTTGCCATTCTTGAGGAATCAGGTGTTATTCCTCTGTACCCTGTAAATTCACGCCATATTCACCCTTCAAACCGAAACACAGCCATGAAAACACAACTGCTTTACGGTTGAAACACGAATGGGACAAAGGTACCCAAGCAATCGACTTTTGTACAAAGTCTCCCTCTGGTTGTAAGATTCTATAAGCTACTTTACTCTTTTAACATCAGATAGACTGTGCTACCATTGCATAAAAATAATGAAACTGTTGATGTGTGTTTTGTCTAACGTTCATTCTAACGACAGCAATTGTACGTACAGTATCAGTCGGTTAATGAACTTGACATACATATCAGTACTGTGGCCACAACTCCATCAAGTGAGCACGAAACTTAATTGATACTTATCTCGGAACTTGACGTTTTTAACAAACCGCGTAATGTTGCGTGGACAATAAAAAGAAATAACTACGTACATACATGATGTATTACATCATTATATTTTAGTGAGGTACTGCAGTTCAAGTATGATTGATTGGTTAAGTATGATGCCAGAACCAGAACTTACAATTTACGCTTCTAGTGAATGTACTGATAGTGAATGACCTATTGGCTCGACATCATATGTTCTTATAAAAAGATGGAGTTAGAATGAAAAAGGGCACAGAGCACGAGCTAAAATTGAACAAGAATTATAAAAGAATACTAAGTGGGTTTAGGCAATAACAACGCATAAAAGTATATTTTGTACAAAAAAAGCAACTTCAATCTCAGAAAAATCAATGCATTTGATCATATAGATAGAATGCGAAGTCGTGTAAATTTAGTAAATTATGTATTGCAACAAGTTGTGTTTACTCCGCAAAGCGAAACGGCAAGAAAAATTATTATTATTTTGGTACCGATCGATTGCATAAAGCTATTTGCAAAATACAGAATTTACGAATAATGGCATAAGATAGCCATAAAAAATACATACGAATTGATAATCTCCATCATAATGAAAACAAATCTATTATCACAAGAACTTTTAATTTAACACAAAAATTCAAAACATCAAAAATATCAAAAATAATAATTTGTAAGAAATTTATAAAACTTACATTTGGAGTATAGTATTATATGAGTGTGGAACATGGACAATGACTGTACAAGGAAAGAAAAATGCTTGAGGCATTTTTCTTTTGTAGGATAATGAAAAGGAGAAGCTGGACAGAATGACGAATGAGGATGTGTTGAAAAGGGTAAATGAGAAAAGAACATTAAAAAAAGAGAATAGAGAATAGAAAAATGCTGGGCCTTCTAATACGACATGACGATTTTTTTAAGAGTATAGTAGAAAAAAAAAATAGAGGGCAAAAGAAGAAGGGGAAGACCGAGGAATAACTACATGAAACAGATGAAGGAAACACTAGGTGTCATGTCGTATAGGGAGGTCAAAAACATGGCCTGGGATAGAGCTGGCTGGAAGAAAATGCATTAATTAGTTGCACCGACAAGAGCAAAATCTTTAATTAAAAGAGAGAGCTTAAGGAAGCAGCTTAGACATGTATGAAGTAAGGAAATAAATGAGGATTTGTGGCGTACTCTCACTGTCACTTTAGTTTAATTCTGTTATAAACTTAGTTAAATTTTGAGCTCTTGTTCAGACACAGACATGCTATATATAAATAGGAGTGAGAACTGTTGCATCTATAACGCGATTATATAAACCAGGAACAAGCGAGTGCACACTATGTTTACTTTCTTTTGGCGATTCGCGCCGGGCAACAATACCAGTAACAATGTGTTGGAAGCCAACGAACCGTCTCAAACGGTAATTAGTCTTGCTATGTAAGAGCTGATGTTTAGCGACGGGGCCGGACGTCCAAGTATGTACGTGCATTGGTATTTCGCAAACCCGCTCGCCCGTTCGTCGGCATTGACCTCATAGTACGAGATAGAAGCTTTATCTTGCTTGTCTATCTGCTACTGCTTGAAGTTAGGTTGGAGTTGGTTTTGTTTATGTGTACTTAAAAATATTTTTCAACCAAAATCTTTTAAAAATTGATGATTTATAATCTTAGATTGCGAAGTAGGTATATCAAGAATTTTGCAAAGCAAAGAAAAACCAGCAATTAAAAGATTTCGTTATGATATTTGACCAAAAAAATACGAGAGTTTAACATCATTTTTGGGATGTCGTTAGAGACCATTATGTGAATAAAACATTGGTGTAAGAGACACAAAACTTAAAAAAAATCCCCATAACTTATAACCTGACCAACAGGGTCCTTTTGGTGAATCCTTTGTATTTGAAGATCACTAACAATTCCTCTCCCCAATTCCAGTCCATTTAGCACGATCTTCCAAAGGAAGCATAGCCTCGTGAATTCTACTAGGCAAATTTCTCTAGAGGGTTTATTGCCTACTTTCTAGTTTTTTTTTTTTATCGGAGAGAGACATTGTATAAATATTTCATAATATTATTTTTATTCTTAATTCTATAAACGTCGGATTAACCATTTAACCTTTTCTGTTATACTTGCCACTGAACTGTCGTATCTTGTTTCGTAGGTTTTCGTTAGGGTAGCTGTCAAAATGTAAACATTATTCTCAGAAACAATATAGTTTATTTGAATATATCAATATTTCATGGAACCACTCCAACTGTCATAGTAGTATTTAGTAATTCAGATAGTTTATAAATAGCAGCCGGTAACCTCATCAATTAAATAACAATATTAATTTTTAAACCCGTGTAATTGTGTAATTCTACGGCAGACGTCATAATTATGACCTCAACCTTAAATACCTTCATGTTTCGGTAGACAATAATGTCAATAACGTATCAGGAATTGTATGTTTTCCTAATAATATAAAAATAAAGTAATTAAACAAATTTAAAATGTAATTTATAAATACAGTTTAAAATATGACCATTGCTAATATCACTTTATATCCTGCGGAGATAAGAAACACCGGTACAAAAAACATCGTAAAATTCCTATCATTGATAGGAATTAGCGGCGAACTTTAAAAAGGGCGAGCACAAGAGATCATGGAAAGGTCGCAGTGTCATGGGTTTTTCTGCCCGGAAGAAACTCCTTTTTAAAATAATAATAATAATATTATAAACGTGACAGTGATTGTTTGTTATATTATAGTCCTTTAACAGCTTAATGAATTACTATTAATCTTAGTATTCATATATATGAGTATAAGAGAAGTACATAAGGCCATAAGAAAGGGCTAAGTATAGACCTTTGAGGTACTCCCATTCGGACAAGGGACTCGTCAAATGTAAGAATTAAGTAAATACTTAATTCTCTTGAAATATTTCAATAAAAATGATTTAATTTAGTTTTAAACATTTGATGTCATAAACATATTTTATTAATTAAAGTAGCTTACTACGTAATCAAAGGTTACAAAAACAACTGTCGTAAACATTTTATTTCTTGGGGCAGGAAAAATGTGTCTAATTAACTGCGTAGATAAAAACAAACTCTGTAATAGAATCGTCACAGAATACTTGTAAAACTAATCGCTTGGTTTTCGAGCTAGGATACCAAATGTCAACATCATCATTCCAGCCATTATCCGTCCACTGCTGGACATAAGCCTCCCCCATAGACTGCCATAAAGAACGGTCCTGAGCCACCTGCATCCACTGACTCCCTGGAACGTATTTTAAGTCGTCACTCCATCTAGTAGCGGGTCGTCCTATACTGCGTTTACCCGTACGTGATCGCAACTCAAGAACCTTTCTTCCCCATCGGTTGTCGGTTTTTTGAGATATGTGACTAGCACATTGCCACTTTAATTTGCTTATCCTTCAGGCTATTTTGATTCTTTTGCGGATATCCTCCTTTCGGATTCTATCACGCAAAGAGACACCGAGCATAGCCCTTTCCATAGCCCGCTGAGTAACTTGTAGCTTTTGTAATGCGTGTAGGACTCCAAATACCAAATGTAATAAGCATTAATTTTTTTATTTATCGTTGTTTCAGAGCGTGCTACATAACGTAGCATAGGATGTGCAAGCGAGTGTGTGGGTAGCAGTGTGTGTGTGCGTGCAGCAGTATGGAGACGAGCAGCGCGGGCGCAGGCGCGGGCGTTGCGCGCAGCATCGGCCGCGGGCACCTGTCGCACCTGCCGCAGCGGCCGCCCGTCACCCTCGCCTTCCACGACCTCACCTACAGCGTGCGCGTCGGCAGGAGTGAGTACTGCTCCAATCTAATCACTGTTAGGGTAGTATCCCCATGTCAAATGTGACAGTAAGAAGGAGAAATTCATTCTTAGAACTTTTATAACTCTTCTAATATATACACGTGTCACAGTTGACAGTTGCTGATTCTTCTTATTCTTCCACTACTGTATGTTATTTTTGAAGTTTTGTAGCTGTATTTAGATGAATTTTCTTAAACACAAAAGAAACTATTGCATATAGATGCGCCTATGAACGCTTAACCATTGTAGAAACCAAATTTGCATGTGTTTCGTTATCAGAGGGATGAGACTTTGTATAAAAATCCTCTGCACGGGTATTTCTGTCTTACCTGAGCTTTTGCCATAAAGCTTCTGTCCTTGTATGGCTTTGTTTTACGAGTAGTTTAAAAATTGGTATATGTAAATAAAATTATAGAGTACGGCGGCATAATACTATAGTTCTCAGGAAATCTACTAATGATGGGTACCATGGGCATGTCCAAGTTCCTGGTATTATCTATATCTATAAGCGATAAAAGTTTGAAGATTCTAAGATAAAAAACTCTTAGTAAACGGTTTTTTCTGTTGTTGGTAGCTAAAATTGTCATGTTAGGTGCATTAAAGTTGAAATATAAATGAGCATTGCGGATGTAATCATCAAATTTAATCTTTGACCTAAATTTCTTATCTTAACACATTTATTTTTCAGTTAAGTTTAAATACCAAGGTTAATTCGGATATTACTGATATACCTACAAACAATTAAGTTGTTATTCTTATTTTTGAAGATTAGAGTAGTCTTAATAATTACTTAACATCAACTTGTTTATAGGTTTACTAGACTTTGTTTTTAGTCTTACTCATGACCTGGCCCGCATGACCGGGATATATTAATCAACCAGAATAAAAAGAAGTCTGCATCCTATTCTGTCTCTAAAAGTACGTGTATGTCAAATGCCATTTTTTTATGCTACTTAGAATGGAAAACAAGCTGACAGCCCACCTGATGGAAAGTGGTAACCTTCACCTATAGACATGAACAGTATTATAGTCTATGGACATAACAGAGTATACTGTTTCACCCATGATACTTTCCGTGCATTGCCATTCCTGAGGACTAAAGTGTTATGCCTCTGTATTTTGTAAATTCACTGCCATATCCCGCCCTTCAAACCGAAACACAGCCATGCAGATGAAAAAGCAGGTCAATTAGCTCATCGTGATGTAGTCACTTGGAATTGAGTACGATGGTTTCTAAAGGAACCGCGAGGAGGTCGACCTGATAATACACTAACAATCCTATTACTAACAATCCTTTCTCCGTTCTTCATCTTCTGATATGCTATTATAAAAAAAAATGTCGAATATTCTAGACTGCAGTAGAGCCATAAAGGAACGGCGAAACAAAAGCCAAAGGAGCGGGAAAGAATAGGCTCGCTCGTTTGGTGTAACTGTATTTTAGCACAAACATCACGTGTAAAATGTTTTCACCTGTCACCATGAAATTCCTTATTCTATCCACATAGAGCGGCGACCTGATACCATAATATTACAATATAACGTATCGTAAAACTATGCTAACTCAAATGGCTAAGTTATGTCGGTTGTTGACATTTGAGAAATTAGTATAATCCTTATAGTTACCAATTTTTTCTAAATTCGTTCGATTCTGAGTATTCTGGGTTGCGTGGCACAACGCAGTACAGATGTTCGTTGCCTGGTTATTCTGGACACATATCCTGACTTGCGGATCAGGCGATTGGTGTGAATGTTTGTGCGTTCATCATTCTACAATTGTATTTTTGTATTATAAAGTTTCTGCTAAAGTGAATCGAAATATCGAAAGTTAGTTTTATCAGAGGGAGACTTTTACAAAAGTCATTTACTTGGGTATCTTTGTTCCATTTGTGTCTCTGCCGTGAAGTAATTGTTTGCATGGCTGCGTTTCGATTTTAAGGGTGGAATATGGCAGAGAATTTACGGATTCAAAGGCATAACAACTAAATCAGGGATGGCAACGCACGGGGGCATTATGGGCGAAATAGTATGTTATGAACTGTCGTGTCCATGGTACTGTTTAGATCTACAGACGACGGTTACCACTATCTACGAGTATCAAGTGGTTTTATTGGCGTAAGTTTGAGTCTCCTATACTACACTACGTGTCCAGTTATCGTGTTTGTATGGGTTTGATGAATCCTGTTGATACCGTAAATGTGAAAGTTTGTGAAGACGTTTGTATGACAATAATAAATAAGTTTATGCTAATAATTTTAAGTGTTTTTATTTCAATGTACACAAATCGTATGACTGTCTATTTTTATTTTTAAATAACAATTTAATTCACTTGAAAAGATTAGCTGGATGCAGTCTCTTATTAGAGATAAGTTCTCCTTTATAATATACAAAGGTGAGCTTATTACGTTCAAAATTGAATATTTTTATCACTATGTTTGTTTAAAATAAAGAATAAGATAAATAATATCAAAATATTTGTTAATCGCACTTAAAAGGTTGAACGGATTTAAATGAAATTTGGCACACAGGTAAATTATATTTTAATGTAATACAACTATACTGTGCACACGAGTAAAGCTGTACGATATTGATGGTATTTTATATGCGAAAGAGTTTACTCCCTTATTGTTGTCAAATAAAAGGCGACATTGATTTCATTATTTTACCTTGAATACTAAATTAAATCAGTTTTGCTCTCTCATAGCAGTCTATGCGTCATAGAGAACAGGTTATGGATTCTGCCAATGGCGGTTAGGTGTGGACCTTAGATTATATAGATAGAATACCGAGCCTCAAAAACGAGTCAACTTTTTGTTAGCTGTCAAGTTAGCTGATGCGTTTTTTTTATCAGGGTTCTATATAATAATAATAATTTTTATTTCGGACTTTATTGGACCATTAAATCTTTATTAGTAACAATATTCTTAAAACTAATGTTAGTAAATTTAGGATTTTTGAGTATATACAGCCCACAGAGTGCATGCGTAGAAAGAGGTGCAATATGATATGTACTTACGCACACTTAATGTATCGCATCTTAATGTATCTATATGTAATTATTTAATAAATAAAATAAGTTTCTACACATTACGAGTAAAAAAAGATGTCAAAAAAAAAATATATATATATATATATATATATATATATATATATATATATATATATATATATATATATATATATATATATATATATATATATATATATATGTAGAAGTTATAAAGGAAACATAACTATGTTTGCATGGCTGTGTTTTGATCGGCTGTGTTGTATCGTTGTGTTTGTAAATTGCCTTGCTTATTTCCTATATTGTATAATGCAAATAAAGTATACTCATTCATTCATTCATTCAACTATTTATCACGCAAAATTATATGAAAAAGTTGACCCACTTTTCTCGAAGCATTTGTATGGAGACACTCTATCTATATAATCTAAGTTGTGGACGTACTAGTTTTGTATCGTGTCCTTACTTGCATATATTTACGAAATGAGATGCACGAGGAGATCCCATGCAGCTGCAAGTACTTAGATACTAACTTAATGACGGAAATCCGTTACCCATGTCGTACACGGTTGCGGCTGTGCGTTTATAGGGCGAACTTGTGTTTAGAAAGTCTCTCACTAGTGATGGTGTTTTATGGGAAATTATATCTATATCACTTACGATAAATTATTCATATAATAATTATTATTTCAGACGTTAACTGTCCATTGCTGAACATAAGCCTTCCCCATAAAGGGAGTTTTGTCAGTAGTTGCCACGCTTGGCAGAGGGGTTGGCAACCACAGTTAGGCTTTTAGAGATGTTTTAAGCGGGACGCTGCTGCCTATCCCTAGCCTTCCCTTAGTCGCCTCTTACGACACCCACGGGAAAGGAAGGGGTGGCCCATCCTATGCTGAGCCCACACGGTGAATTCATATAAAAAAAAAACAATAATAATAAATGTCACACAATCACATCAATTATCTGGTTTTCAAGCTATATCCTAAGTTATGAGGTAATAGACAGCGAACATCTGAGCCTATTTAGAGAAGTTCGCTTCCAAAATTGCCCTGACCAAGAATCGAACCCGGGACCCGGGAAGCGACGTGCTTACCACTGCTTACACCATACCCATTTATACACCACAGATGTTTACTTGCAAATATATAATTTGTATTCTTTTTTCCATATAGCGATAGATATAACAAGTCGCCTTTCTTTTCATCCCTAAGTTGTCGTATGAGCTAACTAGTGGAACATAGTACTTTTTGTTTTTTTTTTATACAACTTAGAATGGCAAACAAGCTGACGGCCCACCTGATGGAAAATGGTAACCGTCGCCTATAGACATGAGCAGTACCATGGACATAACAGAGTATACTGTTTCGCCCATGATACATGATGATCGCATGGGGCGCTATGCGTTGCCATTCCTGAGGACTCAGGTGTTATTCCTCTGTACCCAGTAATTTCACGCCATATCCCACCCTTCAAACCGAAACACAGCTATGCAAACACAACTGCTTCACGGTAGAAACACGAATGGGGCAGAGGTACCCAAGCAATCGACTTTTGTACAAAGTCTCCCTCTGGTAAGTACACCACATTTTGAAATTACGAGACAAGAGTTTGATTTTTTTTTTAATTTAACAGACCATCCAATGAAAAATAGTAGCCGTCACCTATAATACAAGCCCATAATGTCCATGATACATACAAGTCATGCGTTGTTATTTTAAAGCGACTCACAAGTTAGACGTTATGACTCTTTATGTGCTAAATGACATAAAAAGCTTACGATAGTCTCTACGATAGATAAAGCATCACTCTCTGTCTATGGGTGATATTTCGATATGTGCATATACATATATGTTTCGTACATATGTAAGAAAGTCCAATTCAGAATTTTGGAATTTGTAATTTCTGTTTAGGAATCCTTAATTATTATTAAGACATTTATCTTCCAATGTTTGACCATGATATTGATCTGTTCCACACAAAACCGC